GCCAGATGTCAGTGCACATTAATATGTCAACCACACATCAGGTGACCTAATCACACAGCTATAGTCTACAGGAAAGGGCTGAAACACCAGTATGATTCTTGCTGAGACACTGGGGTAGACTGAGCTGAGATTTAACAACTGGACATTCAAGATTACTCCTCAAGTATCTTATTGAATAGCAAGAAAAAGAAGATGTGTAGGAGATCATAATTACAAACAGAAGTTGTATAAAAGCATTAGAATATTCATATATATTAYCTTAATTTCATAGTTAAATGTAAATCCATCTCTCACTATAAAAAGACTGTTAATCCTATGTAGGCAAATTTTCCATAAATTTTACTTGAATAAGGAAGTCAGATTTAGCCTGCAATGAAATAACTCATATAAAATGTCTCACTACTTTAACCTAAATGCATAGGGCACAGAAAATATCCAGTTACAACACAGGGAATTGCATCATCCCACATGATGAAGAGTTACATATTTCCCATTCCTGTCTTACAAAATTATATGGTACAATGTTTAAAATCAATCATTTGTACCTCTGCTCCTTGAAAATCTGGATTATGCTTTAAAGTAGGCAATAGTGAGCACAACTCAACATTGCCAATAGAGAATATGTGGACAAAATATATGTCTAGACTACCTTAGACATGATATAGTGAAGAAGAATCTGGAGTMCACTTGCTGCTTTCTATTGTGGCCTCCACTCTGAGACAAAAGCCTAAGCGCTCTAATTATGCTAGTCATTTTAACATAGCTATTAAGGTCAAAATAAATGCAAACGGATCATTTTCACTACTTTGAAGTTAGTTCTCATTTACCATAGGATTATAAAATTTTCGAAGTTCTCTTTTTATCTAAACCAACATCTATCAAATGCTGCTAAAGAATAAATTACACAGCTCTTCTCCCCAAACTGCCTTAATTAGGAACACCTATCACAGCCATCAGATGGAAGAGATGGACAATCATGATGAAATGATAACACAGAAAGGTCAGCTGTCAGCAAATATCACTATTGATACTTGACAGATATGTAATAATCATCTTGAGAAAAATTATCCTGAAAGAATATATATTTAATACAAAATATGCTACTATACTTGCTTTTTAACCCAAAATAGAATCAAGAAGCACAATGATTGTATAGGATTGAGTTTTGCAGATAAAGCTAATATTTTATTATTATTTATTATTTAATATTCGAGTTGCATTTGACAGGTAAYACTAATATTTTGAATAGTTCCACACCAAAGAAGTTTTCAACAAGATTTCCTCTAGAAATCTCTAGTAGTTTCCGAAATGCCTACATCTGGTAACTAAAACCAATGTGGTTCTTCTTATTTCCATGAAGCTTGACCACTTAAAATCAGCAAGACTCAAGCAAACCCGCATAAAATATTAATCATGTCACTACAACTCAGCAACAGTCAAGACACTAGGGTGTTTCTCTCATTAAATGGAACAGAATCAGAGATTTACAATACTTGGGAGCATTTTGAATATAAGTAAACATAGGTCACCCAGATCTCAAAGATGAAGGAATGCAGTTGGCAGGAATCCTATCAGGATTCAGATCCTGGACTCTAAAGTAGAGAATATAGGAACTGTGAAATCTTCTTATTAGGCATAGGTTTCAAATTAATTTTCATATATGCAGAAGCCTACAGATCAGAGAACATGCATTGTCCTACAATGTTCTTCCACCAATTGTTTTCCTCAACTATTAGAGTTAGGCAGCCTCACCATCCAGCTGGCATGCAAATCCATAGGTCACAGGTGTTTTAAGGGAGTTTGCATGGTAACGTGTTTTGCCCTGGGATACACATTCAAAGACATTTTGCTTTGTTCCTGCCATTTGCTTGTCCTTGCTTCATGACCCCAAAAAACTCAGCTACCTAATGACTTCAGCACGCTATGTATTTAAAACTACAAATTAATTTCTCCTTCTTCAGAACTTATTTGTGGGTACATTCATAGAGTGCATGACTCCCAAACCACACTTCTCCATACAAAACTATCAGCAGACCTCTGAATTTGAGACCTCACATGATAACAATGATCACTTTGTCTGAATTATCATGTTTGGTAAAAATGAAGATAGAGCTCTGAGGAGTCCTCTGCAAATGATATTGAAAAAGACTTTGGCAACAGATAGACTTATATGTCACTGAGCTCTAGTGGCACTTGTCTAACAAAATATGGAGTTATACTAGCAATTTTAGAGCAGATCTTTGTATAATCAGAAACAGTTATTTCTCTGAATCATGTGTCAGGAACCAACTGACAAGGGATTTTATTCTGTCTGTGCAGAAGGTGTGGGTACTCTGATGAGGACCCTAGAGACATATCAGTACTAACAAAATGAAAGTTAAAAATGAAAACAGTGCAGTTTATTTCCTCGGTAGCAGGGAACAACAACCTTGAAACAATTTCAGACAAGCAGTTTGAGGTATGCTCGCTGGAAACAAGCTATGGGGAAAAACTACCATCAGCAGGATCTGTACCTTTCCTCAGTCTCACAGAAACCTCTAGTAGGGATATTTTCATTCAGGAAGGCAGTACTTGAGCTTGTTTGTTAGAAAGTGAATTTTCTACTTAGAAGACAGAAATTTAATAGTCTTGGGTTAGCAAACAGGTTATCAAAACTCTGCAAGGAGGGGTGCGCTACAGCCATCCTTTACATCCTAACATTACCAATTCTACCTAACAAGGAGAACCATGTGGTACTCCTGCTGTGAGGAGTGGGATGACTGAGATAACTTTGTCTCCCTGAATCCCATGCAAGTGGGTCTAGAAGCAGACAGGCTAAGATGACTGTTGGGAGAACAGAATCAACCAACTGGGATGAGAAGTATCATCAGAATTCTTGCCTTATTTTACAAAGGGCCTTCCAGAAATGGAGTGATGGGAAAGGTCTACATCAGACTATTTCACCACAGAAACAGATCTGAGATGGATCCTGGATATAAATTACTGATTTCTTGTTTTCAATCGAAATAGGAAGGTTGATTTTGGAAATTCCTAGAATAGAATGAACCTATGACATCTACTCACTTCGTCTCCCTCAACATGAAAACTGTAGTGGTAAACAATGAGATTAAACTATAGATCTAAATTTAATACTTTTAAGGGTGAATCTCCAGGCACTTCTACTAGCAGATATTTATGCATACCAGTATTTCCCAAAATTAAGTCCACTTTCTGAACACAAATGGCCAATATTGAGATAATGCCCTATATTGGATCTGAGTAGTTTTGACATCTCCCACTAAACAATCTTGACCCTGAGAAGAAAAGAGAAAAACTCTGAAGCCAAAATGCCCATCAAGATCACTTGTACCAGCCAGTCATTAGAATTGACCTAATCAAAACAAATTAACAGGATTCAGCAGATACAGTAAACATAGTGAAATTTCTCTACTTTGCATGTACAGCAGGAGAATATGGGACAGGATGAACATCCAGCTATCCTGTGATGAGGGTCCTCAAGTTATTAGAAAATACTGAAGAGGCAGTTTGATAGGTGCCACCACAGATTCAGAAGAAGTAAAGACACCTTTCTTTTTGCCTCAGTCATGGTGTTTGGGACATCAAGAAAAAAAAAAAAAAAAAAAAAAAAAAAAAAACCCAAAAAAAAAACCCCTGTTTCAAACGGGGTGCAGCAAGCAAAAGTTACCCAATACAAGTTTGGCTGAACTTACGATCTTGAAGGTCTTTTCCAACCATAATGATTCTATGGTTGATTCTATGATTGATTTTATGATTCTAAGTGTTACAATAGTACTGCTCCAAATGACTAAATACAGTGTTTTAAAAAAAATACTATGACAGATAAGTCACCTGAACAATTTGGAAAGTTGACAAAATAGCAGCACATAAAAAGACATCAGAATATTTTACTATGTGTTGTAGTTGCACAGCATTTTTGAACTTCTGCTAATGATTGACCTGACTTTTAATGAGGATGGGAAGAAGAAGAGTCACTCTCTATCACTGTTTTTGTGCAGCTCTTCTCTTCCTTATAATGTTTTTAGAGTATTCTCTTCTTTCAAAAAGAAAGAAGGGAAAAAAATTTTATAAAAGCATTGTCCACAATTTTGACACTGAAAAAATTATAACTTCACATACCCCCCATACAAAACCATCTTTATGGAGATGGATTTCCTTCCAATTTAGAATCATTTTCTTTTTCAAAATACCTCTGAAAATAAACAGTTCCTTACTGATTTTTGGGAGCTCTGATCTCGAGCTTTTTGCTGTAAGGATTTCTTTGACATTCATTCATCATTTAACATTCTTCTAAATGTAGATGGTTTGAGGCAAGAAAGAATATATGTCATATAGAACAGGAGACCATAGGAAAATGACCTCTACTTAGGACATTAAACAGGCAACTTTCATGTTTTTATCAGTTGAGAAATTTAAATACAGAATTTGTTTGGCTCTGAACAATGCATTTGCAATTTGCATAGAAAAAAAGACAGCAAAACCTCATAACCCATCCATGTTTTACCACAAGCTTAGTTCTATTACATTTTAGTTAAGGTTCAAAGTTGTCTAAAGAAACCAATCCCTTCTTTCTCCAACTCTAAATGTATCACTTGAGAGTTCAGCTTCCAATAGAAGCATTATCTGACACAAAACTAATTTTAGAATATAAAGTGCTCCTCACCATACTGGAATACATATAATTTAAAATAACTGTAAACCTAAACTCTGCACAAACAGAAAATTCAAGCACTAACAAAAAAGCATAATTTGTAATTGAAAGAAAATAATATTTAAAAGAAAAAAAAACCTTTTTGTCCTTCCAAAAAGAGACAGAAATTACTAAGTTTTATTTCCCAAGAGAATTATGCCACTTTTATAAAGAAAATTACAGTCACCACAAATTGCTCTCAACAATTCCATAGCTTCTTCATTTGACCACTTGAAAATCAAAGTTCTTTAGGATTATAAATATAACTTTTTATAACTCTGTTATTACGTACTGTGAATGGGGAAAAGGGGCCAATCTTGTGGCCATAGCGTCGAATGGCCTCTCTGATGTGGCTCGGCTGGATGGCATCGCTTTGAGCCTCAATACCACAGGCTGCAGCACTCTGCAACAGAAAAACACATAAATTGTTACTAAATCAAAAACACACAACAGACCTACAGTGCATAAAGTATGAAAATAAACTTTTATAAAATGACCATTTTTTTTCCTAAGGATACACATCATTGCTACCACACACTACATTAGAGAAAAAAGCTATTAACAAATCAAAGAGGACTTTTACATGAACTTTGCTTAAGAGACCCAGAGAACACCATATTTGTCCTCTTAAATCTTTCACCTTKTGCTGCTGTAGGTTGCAATTGAAAAGAGCAGCACATGCTCAAACTAAAATGAAAGGGTCATATAAGTCACACTGTAATAACCACAACAACTATTTTTAAAACCTTTCAGGCCTTCATTATGATGTCAAGGGGTGGGGAAAATATTGAACAAGTACCTGAAGTGGAGGCAATTTGACACCAAAAATCACAATCGAAAAATACTTGCATTGAAATAAAAACATATGACATTATGGTGTTAGAGAGATGAAGAAAATATTTTAATATCTGCGAGTGGACCACTTTCAGATTTCAAATGATGTTTTTGGACTAAGAACTCTAAATCAAAAATAAGATTTGGCTGCTACCAATCCACTGATTTTATATAAATACCACCTATATTTCAGAAGTAAAAGTGACTCTTTTCTCTTTGCTAATTGCACAATAATGTTGAGTGAGACCTCACCAACACCATTTTCAAGTATTTATTACCATATCACTAGTAAGTTGTCTGAATTCTAGTGAGCTGCTAAAAATGACAAAATCTTACTTTGCACACTGAAATTTACTCTACACATACACACATACCCCATACATTTCAAATATATAGCAACATTTTCAATCTTAGGCATAGGGGAGAAAGTTTTTATTGCCAAGAGTGCTGAATAACGTGCTGAATATTATGAATATCATGATATATAGTATTACTATATATTAATATTATAATATGATAATATGACGGTAGATTCTTCCCTTGCTAATAGATATTGATAGAGGGAATGTGCAACTCAAATATTTTCTATCATGTACCAATAATAACATTCACCTCAGTTATATGTATGCCTATTAAAATTGAATAACTGATGGGAATACTAAAACATTTTAGAAAATATATATACTTTTAAAGGCATTAAGTAAAATACCAGAAATTTAAAAGAAACTCACAAAACTAATGAAATACACAAAGTATCAAGAATCACATCTCCAGCTAAATCGTGGTGTCTAATCACGACAGTGGAAGTCACCCAGGGAATCTGAACATCATCAAATATATAGGAAAAAGTAAATAGAAGAGGAGGTTCAAAAGTCTTAAGAAAGATTTTAGGATGATTAAAGGCTTTTAAAATGGGGCATAACAAAGGAAGAGAAAAAGCTGCATTTACTGGAAGCATCTATAGCCCTGATGACTTTACAAAGACAAAATTGACCTTTTCCTAACTGTCACTGTGAAAACTAACAGTTAAACCCTGTGAAAAAAATGAGTTCTGGTTGGAGCAGATTAACTGGTTATAGGAGATTCACAAGTCTACAGCTCTGCAACAAACTGAGCCCTGCCACCACTTTTTTTTTCTTTTTTTTCCAAAAAAGCCATAAGTGACAAGCACGGAACATTCTAACCAAATTATTTAATCAAATCTATTTCCTCTTTTGTTTTAAGGTACAGATATCCTTCTCATCTAGAATACCAAGGATCTACTACAGAAGACAGGAATTGTAGTATTTACATTTCACATACTGAATGTAAGATATTTTCTTCAAAGTCAAACAAATATTTCAGTTGAATGGAACTGACTGGCATAAAAATAAAGCGGATCAGGCAAAGTAGCTATAGGAAGAAAAGACACTTGCCTAACACTGCTGTGAGCAGGAAAATCGTAACGACTGTGCCTGTTTTGCTTTACTTTGACCCTCGTCCATTGTAGGTCTACTTTGTAGGTCAACTTTGACCGACAGAGCATGAGATGCACTGTAAAGCAAGGGCTTGATTACATGGGGCAAGGTCTATTCCAGGGGCTCTCTAGGAGCTTCAGGTCACCCTGAGAGCATGTGGAGTCTTCTTCCTTTGAGATATCCAAAACACTCCTGGACACAACCCTGTGCCATATGCTCTAGGTGACACTGCCTGAGCAGGGTGGTTGGACTAGATTATCTCTAGATGTCCCTTCAGTCTTTCTGTGATCCTGTGAGCTGCCCATCTTGGGAGCAGCAATTGCCACTTTGGCTATGCTCCTTTCCCYCCTCTTTCTTATGACATATGTGAGCCCAGCTGTCTTTACATCAAAAAGAAAACAAACGACAACAAAAAAAACCACTTCCACTACTACTACTGAGAAGTCTTGTTTCTGACAGAAGGAACACCAAACATTTGCCTCTATCATGATATCAGTATGCAGCATGTGATATATCTTAAAATCTACCAGAACTAATATCTTAACACCTAAAATTTAAATTAAAAATTATTTCCTGAAGATATTTTGCATGACAAATACCTTTTTTCTTTTCCTTTGTTTGGATTTGGTAGAGTCCTGCCCAATTCCACCATTGCCCAGGGCTCCTGCCTGGTTTTTCCCAATGTGCTGCTGTCCTGCTGACACTGGAGGTGTGGGTGTAGGAGGTGGTGTGTTTTCTGGAGAGTCAAGACTGGTCTTCACACCTGTGGCCTGCCCTAAGAGGTGTGGCTGTCAAAACAAGAAGTCAAACAGCCAGTGTAAGATCTTTAACAAAAGAGAAAAAAAAAAAAAAAAAGGAAAGAAGGAAAAAGATTTACTGCCTTCTTAGATTTACTGGTAGAATTATAATACAACAATAAGTTTCCTCACTCTACAGGTTGCTGTGATATAAATATTGTAGCTTTATGGTCACAAAACGTAAAAATGCATTATACCTATGATGCTTGTTCTTCACTGTTAACTTCACTGTAAATAAACTCCAGAACAGGAGCTTATGTCAATACTTACCAAATTTCTATAGCATCTACTTGGAATCCAAAAAAAGCCATCACATACTGTAACAGTGAAACACAAAATACATACAGTCCATGCAATAATAGTCACATTAATGTGAGGAAAGCGTACTAACCTCTGTAGAGCTGTGATACTGTATGAAGGTAGCAGATATGGCATGACTGAATGGGTCACCAGCTTTGGGAGCCATGTCCTGCTTAACCAAAAGGGCCAAGTCCACCAACTGTGAGGACAAAAACAACCAGTGAAGAGGTAGCTGCACTGACAGGCCACGTGCCCAGAAYGCCATAACAAAGCCAGGAGATAGGGCTCCTGGATTAAGGGTTAAGGAAGATTCTTAATGCTTATCAGTAAAAATTACTTAGAAATTGCTTAGAGTTACTTAGAGATATTTTAGCCTAAGGAATCTTTCTTTTCCACTTTTGTAAATACATGGAGCAATTTATCTACCCAAAAAGGCTCAATATAGCACTAAGCTTTTTGTTTTGAAATGGAGTATAAGGGCAGAGAGAAAGCCGAAGTTATTGGGAGCATCTAAACATTTTGGTTTTCCTGGAAATACTGCTTTTTGATCCAATTGTGCAATCGAGTTGAATGAACTTCAGCTCGTTGCCAGAGGTCACATAGTGAAGTATGYGGTTCCAGTCTGGACTTGAATAAAGTTCGTGCTGGACTCCACTGTCTTCTGTAAGCAATATAAAACATTGCTATTTGTGTATCAGTGATGAATGTGTGGTGTAGGACACATCTGTTATACAGTAAATTGAAAGACAGATAGGAATCCAATTAACAGCATTAGCATATGGAGTTCCTCTATGCTTCTAAGGGGAGGTGACAAAACAGTCAGTTGGGACTGAAGTGAATCCAAGAGTAACTAATTAATTTTCTTTAAGCAGAACTCAGTCATTATAGCAGACTCCCTTACCTGTGCCACAGTCTCATATGCTAAATATGCCAAAATCTCCATTGCGACTGCATTTGGCTTTATTTCCATACTGCTACAGTCCAGCCAGTCACGAAACTTGGATGCTTTCTTTGCTGTCAGTTCAAATCATAGGGGAAAAATGAAATGTTAACAACATATAGGCCAAAACGACCCATTTCTCCACTTTGAAAAGTATAGCAAATGTGAAACAGAAAGTGTGGACAGATCTTGATTGGCCTGGAATAGACTTCAAGGTTTAACAAAATGGAACTAGGAGGTAAAGACAATTATTGCATAATTTTGGAAACTCATAAACAACATGAAGGAAATGGAAAAGCACATAGTTAATCAAATATGCAGGAGTTTTCAGCATGAGGAAGGATCTGCTATGGAGATGGACAGGACATACTGAACTTTAAATGTATTATGGCAAAAGAAATAATGTGATTGTATCACAGCTTTGATGAATAATTGCAGAAGCACTAGAAGAAATGAACACAAATCTGAGTTTCTGAGCCCAGAAAAAATGGTAAAATTTTGTTAACGACAGCAAAGACAAATGGAAAGGGAGAGAAGAAGTAGCAAGTCCTGTGATAACTATGTAGGGATTAGCTGCTGACAAGCTAGGCAAAATGATTTGTAGATGTGTATTTTTAAAATGTGCTTTGGATAAGAAAGAAACAAGGGTGGATGTAGATCTGCACATGATCAACATTCAGATAAGAACTTTATACTACAAATGCATGAAATAGAGAAAAAAAAAAATGGGACAAAGAAGCACATGGGACTTGCAAAGACAACAAAAGCATAAATCAGAGATATCAAAATGGAGCTGAAAAAACATCAGGGAAGTTTTCAGGAGAATCAAGGAAAGGACAATCTTACTTAAGTCAATGGTAGGCAAATTGATCACAGAAAGCAATAGAGGCTTGGATAGAAATGTGCTAGTAATACTAGCCCTCTTCATGAGGTCTTTTTATAAGGTCAAGACAACTAAACTGAAGTAATAGAAGTAGGGAGAATAATTTTGAAACAGCAGTTTCAAAGAGAGAGTGAGGAGTAAAAATCTGAAGAGAAACGAGAAAACTAGATATCATTACTAGTTCTTTCTAGGAGAAAGTGAGAAAGTTTCATTGGTTCACTGAAGATGAGAAACCAAAGCAAGAGGAAAGCCAGACGGTGACAGAAGAACTTCACATATTTCTTTAAACTTTGTATTTGTAGTCCTATGCAATCCGGTTCTGGTTCTTAGGTAATAGATTTTTTTCCTTTTAACGGTCTTAAAACTGTGTAGAAATACATGGTGCTGTAATTGTGACTATATAATTTGAACAGACTTCTTGAGGTCCATTCCAGACCTGCTCTCCCATGAACCACTTTTGGGAGGTTTATATTACGGTAATATGGGTTTGCTGCTTTTTATATATAAATTAATTTGATTTATGCTAAAATAAAAGAAAATGAACAAAATTAACTTGTGTGATAATTTTGGTAAATTTTTGTAATACACGTTAATGAAAAAGAATGGTCTAGACATTATGTTTCAAAAACCCTGCAAAAATATCACTGAGATCTTTGTATAGATCACAGACCACTGGTCTGCAACTTTCAATTTCATTTCACAGATTTAAGATTTCTATTTGTTCTCTCTCCAGATGATAATTTGAGGGTTTAAAAATGACTTTATCACAAACCTCTCATTTGCTGAAGTCACCCTAATATGAAGTAGCATTTATGTAATGGTTCACAGATGTGTGATGCCAAATTATAACTAAGCTTACAAAACATACTGAAAGAGGAAAAGAAGTGCTTACAAAACATGTTTTCCTACATTTTCTGACATTTGCTGATACAGAGGAGTATTTCAAATGTGTCATTTATTTGCCATAAATGACTCAGTCTTTCTTCGAAATTAAATGTCCTGCTAGGAAGAACAAGATAAGGTCTCATTTAAAGGCACTATTGTGTTCACGTCTGTGTTGTAGGATCATGTGCTGTTTTGTCATGCCTTTTACTGGCTCCTTCACCTCACTTTCTCTGACATTTGACTTAAAACCTTAGTCATCACTTAACTGCTTCTGTAATGATGTTTTGCTACATGATCAAGCCCATTAATTTACAGCTCATTATAGTTGTGGCCCACAAGTACTTCTACTAAGTTGGTTTTCAGTGCTAGTAAAGCCCTAATTCTGTCATCATGTTATTAGTGTTGGAATGGTGTATACTGATGAATTTGGCTAATGTTGAATAAATTCCACAGCAGGAGCTTATGGCTTAAAATAGAAAAGACTCTTTAGTAACTTCTTTGTGTCTCTGCGGATACAGGAATAAAAGCAAAACTTGCTGCTCTTCTCTAATTTTAGACACATTCCTGTAACCATGAAACTTTATTAATGTGCTAACATCAGGACAGACTTCAGGCAAGTATGGTTGTTTTTATACATTAAGCCTTTTAAAAAGTCCACATATTTCCATACTTTGCAGCACTCCCCACCAGCACAGTAGTTGACCATACAGAAACCTTGGTAAGAATTCAGATAAAACATTCTGCCTGATAGCYCCAAACTGCACTAAATTAACTTTTCCCAGGCGGTACTAGGACAAAGAATTTAAATTTTTATTATTGAGGATGAAATAAAAGTGCTTTCAACAGACCTGAGGTCCTGCTATGTTCTCTGTTACACAAAATTGAACATCTTAGCACAGTGCAATCTTTATAATACTTACAAAAACTCAACTGCCGACTTTCACAAAATTCTGCATACTGGACTGAGTCCATCGTTCGTGTTTGTCTTTCTGCTCTCTGACAAAAGAGTAGAAGTACATGATGTACCTTATTTCAAAAAGAACTGCATTCCCCAGCAGAAATCACAGCGGCAACGTGCCAGAGCCATCACCCCGAAACAACCCCCCGCAAGTCAAACATGCATTGAACAAAATGCAAAAATATAAGATGCATGGCTTGATTATGGGCCTCCTGAGTTGGTTATTCCCAGAGGAACATGTCATATCTCACTCCAATGTCTGCTTGCACGTTGTTCAACTGGGACAGAGGAGCCAGGGCTGCAGGAGGGCAGGTGCTGAGGGTCCCATGAGGGTAGGTGCTGAGCACTCTGGCCCCGATACATTTAAGCATGGAGGTGCRCATGTAAACTGAAGCGTGGGAGCAGTCTGCCTACGTGCTTACAGATGACCAGGCAAGTAAAAGGTTTTCCTGGATGGAGGCCAGTGTCTTCTGCACAGAACAGAAATGAACCTGAATGTCTGAAATGGGAGTGTTATCAGTATTGAAATGAATCGGGGACATCCCCCTGTTGATGAACCAGACAGAGAGGAGCACTGAAGTGCCCCTTCCCACACAGATATTTGATAAACAGTAATAATGAGTGGTATATGTATCTCTCTCATCATTTTTCACTGTTAATCTATGCTTGTTTTCTTTTTCTTCCATGTATCTGAACACCTACGCAGACAAAGAAGGGAAGTTTGATGCCAAATTAGAATTTATTTGAGAAAAACGGCTTTAAATATTTACTCCTGGATTTTACTACTGGACATCTCCAAAGAGTCAAGGCATTAAGCCATACATACGCACAGTCTGCACAGGTAGGAGATGGCAGTCAGATTAAAGACAAGGATTATCCAATTCAGAAGTAGAAGGTATTTTATTCAAATATATTTGAAACATCAGGGAAAGGAGCAYATCTTTCTTCCAAACAAGAGTTTAAATCATAAAATCACTAAATGTAGTAAGAAGAGAGCTGTAGCTCAGGATGCAAGCTGACATCAATCGTGGCTATACCGAGATGCACACATCTGCGATCCCTACTTCTAATTCAAGACACCATGCAGCGAGAAGGGGAAGYATAGGTGTGCTTGCACTGAAAGATAAGCACAGGCCCTTTGCTCTGAGTCTCCAGGCACTTTTCCATACAACAAAACTGAAAGTTAATTTGGTTTCATGGAAAATTACTAATTTAAAATAAATAAAATTGCTATTGATGACAGTATGCAAAAAATACATATATGCTCACAAATCAAAAACAAACAAAAAAAGGAAAAACTCATTTAAATATGTTTTTTTTTTTTCTATTCACTATCTTTTAGGTCATTCCTCTAAGACAGTCAACCAACTATCAGATTTTCTTTATAGACAACACACTTCATTTAGTTGTGACTTGAACCACCAACTGTCAAGGAGCATATTTTGATATTCGTTCTTTCTTTTCATCTCTACCCAGATGGTCATTTTATCCGGAAGCCACATGTTTCTATTGTATCTTGACTCTTAGTCACTGGGATAGAAACTCCTACTGAAATATTTCTCATTTCTCTTTCTCCGCATTCCTCTACTCCTCCTGGCATCCTGCTTACATTTTGTGGAACTGATAAGTAAAAATTTTCAGTCAATATATTCCATTAAGGCATCAAATGAGTTTAAATTTATTTTGTATCTTTTAAAGAATAACTGTCACAATTCATGCCATAACCTCAATCCTCATCAAGTACAACCAAAACAGAGATCTGTTTTGCCTCTGAATTAATTCAGTCCTAGTTTTCAAGACCAGGAGGCACCACTAGGATCATCTAATCTCATCTCCTGCATAGCACAGGACCCTTCTCACATAATATATCCTAGAATTTGCAGGCTTAGAATTTTTTGCTTAATTATACTGTATGTTTCAGAAAGACATCTAATCTTGATTTAAATATTTCAAATTCTTAAAACAATTTAAGATGCTACCTTTTGTTTCATGTAGTTTAGACTCTATGATCATTTGTGTATTTGCTTGCCAACTGGCAACTACTAGTTAGGTACTCGAGGTAATGATTGAGTAACATCTTAGCTTCTGTTTGATAATCAAGTAAACTGAGCTTCTCCAAATACTGAAATCGTGTACACAGAAATGTCCATATAGACTCATATAGGTCTCTGGCCCAGTCTTTCACTTGGAACATGTCATGCTATTGATCTTGCCAGCCGTGGCTTCCTCTAGCTAAGTGTTGAAAACATCCAAGGACAGAGATTTCACGTTTCTTCTTGGTAACCTATTCCAGCGTTGCACTGGTTAAAAAGTTTTCTAGTATCCTATCTGAAACTTCACATATCAGATTGTGAATGTTAACCCTTCTTATTCCATCTGGCACTACTAAGAAGAGTTTGGTTCCATCTCCTTTATGCTATCCTTCATGCAGTTGTACGCTGCTATCCAATCACTTTCAGCCTCCTGTTCTTCAGACTAAGTTCAGCTCTCTCAGCCTCTTCTTACAGCCACATTCACAAGGCCCCTCACTTCTGAGTAGCTTTCAACTCGAATTTCTCAGCATTTCCTCACAACTGAGGAACCCAAAACTAGRCATAGTATTCCAGACAAGACATCATCAACACCAAGTAAAAGAAAATTACAATTTCATTCAATCTGCAGGCCACATTTCTGCTAATGTAGCCCATTGGAATTTTGTATTATTATCTAAAATAAGATACTGTTGGCTTATATTTTTCCTGATGTGATTAGCGCCCCAGGTTCCTTCCAGTTACCCAATCCAGTAGGACCACATAGCCTGTTGCTCATGCAAGGGCTTCCTCTGGTCCAGCTATTTGCTCAGCTTGCAAAGTTATCATAAACTGAATGGGTTGAGACGCTGTGACCCCCATTTGCTAGCTACTTTTCCATTAATTTGTTGACTGTCTTTTCTGTTTTCTTTGTCCAGTCTGCAGATGAAGATATTGAACAATAAGGTCCCAGTATAAATCCTTGGACTATGTAGTGCATTATCAGTTGCTAACTAGATGTCAGGCCATTGGCCACTACTCTTCATAAGCAACAACCTAGGAAATTTTACATCCACCTAATGATCACTGCTTCCATCCTGCGCTTCGTGTTCTTCCATTAAAAAAAAATTCCTTCACCAATGAAAAATAAATTACTTTTTCTCAAGAATCCCACAAGTATCCTGAGATAAAGCGGTGTGGATAAAGCACACTTCAAGAAACACACTGAAGGCCACTTCAAGTCAAGATGCTACCTCGACATAACATTAGGTACATCGTGTCCTCATCCTGTTATCAGAGAAGCTGCTGCCTCTTAATCAAAGGGTTAGTCACAATCCAATGTGATGGAAACAAATCACTTCCATCTATATAAGCATAAAAAAAAAATGCTTTTGAAAGAGACCATCCCAAAGCCTTAAAAGGACAAGGAAGGCACAGGAAAACAAACTGACAGAAAAAAMTAACCTGAGCATGAGGCACCATGCTTCAAAGTCCTACCTGAATGAAATCACTGCAAGTTTCTTAAAAAAGTGAAACAATTAAAACTGACATAAGGAAACTGACATATGAAAAAGGGGGAGGACTAATTTTCCAACAGAGATTTCATTTCTTTCTACAAATTGTCTATAATATTCACCCAAAAAGCTATACACTGCTCTTAATTCTGTTCTTATATATTAAGTGCTTATAAGGCTTATTAAATGCTTATAATTATTTTTCCTTATGTGAATACTTTGTCCATAGTGAAATTACTCACATACCTGTGAAATAAAATTGCTTTCTCCTTTCAGTGTGCCTCCCTGTAAGAAGTTCTTCTAAAAGGTGATTTCTAGAGTGATATTTTTTTTAAAATACATCCAAATAAAGTATCTTTTAGTATAAATAACCACCCTTTATTATTTTCAGCCCATGCAATCTAATAGCAACAACAAAAAAATCACTTTATGACACATTATGGTATGAAAACACACAGTTCACAGGATATGGATATGGACAACAATTCCATCAGTCCTTCCAGTTTTAGAATAATGTATACATAAATAGAAAGTATAGAATAAACAACTAGATAGCTATCTTTCCTTGGCAGTTCTCAAGGTTACAAACTTTATTTTTTTTCGCTTATATCATCTCTTCGGTGGAAAAATTTAATGTTCCATTATCTCAACATTTTTAATCAATCAATAACATGGGATAAAAAAGGAAAGGAAAAAAAGTAGTGCTGCTCCAAGGACAAAAGAATTTTATGGAAACAGCATTCAGTGTTGCAGAAGTTATAGACCATTGGCAAAAATGCTATAACTTGTAAATAATACTTATTATTGAATCTGTACATTGCCCACTTAATGTTTTCCACAGTCTTTCTTTTTAAGCTACTTTTTTTCTTTTTCTTTTTTTTTTTTTTTAACGTATGAAATTATACAGGACAGATCAAATAAATTTCATAATTTAAATAGTAATTTTTAATTTTATATGAGYGATTTTTTTCATATTCTCTTCTTGGACAGATTAGCAAGTTACTGCAACAGAACTGAAGTCCTCTTTCACAAGCATAAAAGCAAATTTGCTGGAAATCTTTCCTACGTGAAGAAATGGGGCATCCTTATTGACATGCCACCTTGAAGCAATCTCAGCTTGAAACATTTTGCTTTGAGTTTTGAAACCAGATACAGCAAGTGACATAAGTGATGCAGACCTACTGGGTTGTCAAAAAATTAAAAAATGCATAGGTTTTACTTCCTTCATAGTAGTTCAAGTTACTCTGAGCAGTTAAGAAGCTGAGTTATGTGGCAACCAGCAAAGTTGAAAGCCTCCACCTGCTTTCATGCTGAAGAATGCAGTAGATAGCAGCTGGCACAGTAAACGTAGGCTTAGTCTTCCAAAAATGTGCTGCATTATGCCTTTCTTTCAGCATGATGAACCAAGAATGAAAACTGACAAGGTCATGTGGAGAAAAGGTAAAGAATTGTATGTTGTCACCTACCATCTAGGATGAAAAATAATCCTATTTTGACTCCATTTTAAAGCTTTCA